TGATCTTCAGGTGTGTCGCCGGCCTTAGTCGAGCACAGACAACATACACGCAGAATAAAATTCGTCAAATATCTTACCAACCCTTGGTCTCCTCTGTGTACATCTACTGACAACAACTTTGCTGATTGAAGGACAAGCGTAGGTTTTTATAATCTTACGTTAAAGAAAATTCCTCTTTCTGTTGAATACCGGAACTCAAACTTGACCAACCAGCCGTAAAAGAAACATCTACCTATCGAACAAAAGGGGTTTTATTGTATACTCAAGCTATCGGTCAACCGTTATATTACTACCAGTTTATGATTGGTTCTCATCACAATTAAATTCTTGGAATGCAGAAGCAACGCTATTGGAACACTTTCTTATTCATCGTGGATCGTGTGATTTCGCGCGATATGATTCAAACTTTTTGCAGCGGTTATAATAAGTGCTAGAATTTTAACAGATGAAGAAAGGAAGGCCTTAAGCTGGATGGTGGCAGGAAGTTATCGTGTGATATTCCATATTAACTTCCTATACTTTTGTGATTTATCATAATTTACCGGAAATGCGTCACACAATGATCGGCTGCCCCTTTCTTGCTGCAGTTTCATTTCTTTATTTAAATTCGTTCATTCAGTTATTTATTTATTTTGAGGGGGACTAGCTCACACTACCTTTAACTCCCACACGTAAGTTCTTACACCATTAAAATGGTAATGTTGCAGCAAGAAGAGTATCTAGGCGAGTGGATTATCATTTTGAAGAAGAGCGGATATTTTTTTCACGCTTTATTGGTTAAGTTCCGCACTCGAGGAATGAGGAATCTGCACTGAAGAGTGACAGGACAGAAATTCTATACTTTCTTGGAACAATTCACACACAGGTAATCGAAATAACATCCGCTCCGGCATGAAACTACACCAAGTATAAAGACAAAGGCAAACTTGACATAGCAACTACGATTTTTTATCGGCTTTAAGAGTTATTGCCTGTCTCCACTTGACGTAATCTACCGAGCTCCAAAGTCTGATTAAGTTCTGAGACAGTTTTTGTGGCAGTATCTAGTAAGTAGGTGTAGCATAATTTTGAAGAGGAGGGGATGTTTTTTTCGATGGTCGATTGGTTATGTGCGAGTTCTGCACTTGAGGAATGGAGAGGGGAAAGAGAACCAAATCGATGCAGATCAAGTAAGGAATTTTTTTAAGTAATTGATTAAGATGACGTCACTATGTTTGTAGATCAATCATAGACGGCAACGAACGAACCGAATCAGTGGAAGCCAGGTAACTCGCGAGTTGTTTAAGCTGTGTTTGTGATTGGCCATGACGTTGTGGCTATGTTTTTAGGCTCGTTACTAAAGGATGTAGATGAAAACGATTGCAGTCTCACATTACTTGGGACCCTGAGTTCTCTCTTTCTAATGATACTCTGAAACATTTGTCAAAGATCGAAACAGTAACAAGGTGACTGGGAACCAAAGAGCTGTAGACTGAACCGACAGTTCGTCGGTTCTACTTGAGGGTTTTAATAAATTAAAATTTAAATACAATGAAGGCAGAGCGCGGAATATTTGACATTTTTCTTATCCTCCGTTTTATTCGTATTATAGAAATCTTGCTCAGGCATAGCCGGTTTTTGAGAGAAATCTAGAGGGTAATTCTTAACCTGACAGCTAAAGAACCACATTTACATTATTTCTAGAGTGGAAAACGTGCAGTTCTCTCTCTTTTGGTTATTCGGTGGTTTTACGAAGTAGCAGCTGAACAAATATTACTCAAAACTGTTTGTTCATTGATGCGTACATAAGAGGATTCATTAATGAATTTAGGAATATTAAGCCACAAAAAGATAGAACAGTGTGTTTTCGATGTCAGTCGGAAATTAAGTATATCTCTAAATCATTAATCAAAATTGAGAGATACATCGTTCACATTTTGTGCATTAATTCCATGCAGGAGACAGATTTTAAACATTTCATTAAGGGGTTGAAGGATAGCACCGACTGTCAAATCGGTTACTGCTAAGCAAGCCAGCAAGATGTTCGATTACGTTTGAAGACGGCGAACGGTTTATACCGCCACTATTCAGAAGACATTGAATAAGACTGTAAGAGGCAATGAAATCAGCAAAACGACTGTTGTGAAAAGGAGAACAGCCTAGAGTTCGGTGGGAAGGTTCTCACCTAATGACCAAATTGGTCATGTTGGCCAAAATGCTCTAAGATACTCGTTTCGGAATTACCGTCGATATCAGAGGGCGATGTAGTTTGATTCATAAAACCGACCTCAGAACATGAGGTATGTAACAGATAATTATATTCATAGACCTCTTTCTTGACCCAAATAAGACTTTCTGGCCTCGACAATTATCACTCAGAAGTTAAGCCAAGAAGGTTAATTTACATGCTCATGATTTGCATACTTTCGTTTATTTCGCGAGAAAGTGGTTGTGTCTTACGCTTTCCTTTTAAATTTTGCGCGGGAATTGGCGTGCGGCCAAAATAATTGACCGCATGCATGCAATGCCCGCTATTATTAAAGGGGACTATAGAATCATTTCCTTTCCATTAACATTTGATTCAATTCATCAGCCCCCAGCCTTTATTTCTAGTCCCTTTCAGGACCTTAAGACAGATTGCACATCTAAATTTATAATTAAAATAATATTTTGGGTGATTCCCCTCAAGGCATTTACAATTACTTTTACACAAATAACTGATAATACATGGCTGAATGAAATGTATAATACCGTAAACTGCCGCCTATATACCCTGGGCTTATAAAGCTATGCGTAATGGGTTTTTTAGAGAGCTCATAAATGGAGGGTCGGGGATTATATCAGGGGTGGCTTCTAATTGGAATAGAAAGCGCTTCAAAACGAACTATAGCAGTAATGAAAAATATTGGATTTGCGATAAATTTATCGTTTCTAAGGCCTTGAAAAAGTATTTTTTTCTGCGATAAATTTCAAATTTTCTATTACGAGTGGTACAGAGTTCATATCTCTCAAAACAGGAAAAGCCGAAGGGGGGGCTTATTTCCAGCGGGGGTGAGGAGGAGGGCCGAGGGGCTTATTATCGGACTCATTTATTTTTTCACAGGTAGGTGGGCTTATCACGGGGGGAAGGGCCTCTAAGTGCCGCTCGGAAGTGGCAGTTTACGTTATGAAGTAGGTTCCTTATGTACGGATTATGCATAATTTTCTTTTCTTCTAACCTTTTTCAGTGCACTTAATCCTCTTACTCGTCTAAAGGAAATTTCTCACATCTTTAGGGAAATGAAAGTGCTCTACGTGGCATCAAGCGAGTTCATATTTACAGACCTAATGTACATAACAACCGGTTTTGCTAGATTAATTCTCCCATTTTGACAAACCAAGAAAAATCGTAAAAGTTATTAAGTTGGAAGTAAAAGCTAAAAAAATACAATCATAAGTATTAAACCAGCAAATCAAATACGGCTGTCGGGGCTGTCAAAATTGTTGTTATTCCTGTTTCCTTCAGAGTTAATTAAGGCGAGAATTTTGAGGTTAACTCCTTCCAGCATCACTTTGTAGTAGCTTCGTAACGAAAACACAAAAAAACCTATTTAGATTTTTTTTCCTTTTGTTTGTTTTTTTTTATATTTCTTGTTTTTTTTCATCAACCAGTGAAGTTGCTTCAGTTGAAACAGGTGATGAACAACTTTCATCCAAAAAATGAATTTATGTACTCGCCAAGTTAGCGAGAAAATAAGTCAAGTTTGTTTCGGTGCGGCCAGTTGAAAGTTAGTCCTACACCTCCGTACATTTTTAGTTTATTGTCTGACTTTTGATATACAATTGCAAGATGTTGAATTAGCTAGAACTTCACTTTTTCACGATCTTTCAGTTGCACCCTTTATACATACTGAATTCGCCTTGTAAGAAAAACTAAACCTCGATGAAATACAGAGAAATAACTGATAACCTTACTGGCAACAAAAGTAAGAGCGCCATGTTTTACAAGGTATAATTAATTTTCTAAAACCCTATTAAATTTTGGGGATGAATAATCGTATTCGTATTTAGGTTAAGAGTAAAGCCTTAAGCGGAAATTCGTGAAAAAATTTGATGGCTGAAATGATGACTACCGCTCAGATCGTAGTTCTGATCACCTAATTATAGACAGACGGATCAATAAAGGGCGAGTTTAATTAATCACGTTGTTATGGTAACTCTGACGTTTCGCCTTCTTGTGGCCTGACTGTCGTGCTTCTGCAACAAATTACTCGTTTTTCCATTTGATCTGTTTGTTGAATTTGTTGTCGTAACAGATGGTGGACAAATGCCAGTCGAACTCGCTTGTTCCTCGCTGCGTAGATCAAAGGATTCACCAAAGAATTGAGTAAAGTTAATGTCAAAGCTAAAAAGAAAAGTAT